TGGGAGAATATTTCATTGGATCTTTGGAATTAAAGGGTAAAGTAAAACTTTCTCTTGTCATGCTCTTCAGTTGAGTAACAGTTTCATGGACTCAAAAAGAGTCAACTGAGGCATTTTCGAAGTCAAGAATAAGTTTGCGATTCTAGAGCCATTAAAGGCGAAAGTAATTTCAAATACAGAGGAAAAGTAGAGCCATTTAATTCATTGTACTTGATCAAATTCAGAGAACTACATGTTAATTCCAAAGCCGCTTTCCCACAGAGGTTTCCGCTGTCATTTTTATTGTTTGCCTCTTCCTTTTTTGGATTGAGTGGGAGTTTAACGAGAAAAGGTTGCAGTGCTTTCATTTTCAAAAATCTCATTAGGGCCAAAACAACAAACAAACCAAATTATGTTTTGATGTACGAGGTCATGCTTATACCTGACTAGAAGGAAGTACCATAGCAACGCTCTTGATAATTAATCTCCCACAACGTTTTTCTTTTTTCTTCTAAATTATGTACATTATTGTTTATAGAACTTCCTCTGTGACCACGACACCAAGTAAAAGTGTAAAAATGTTTTAACGACTTCATTATTCACCGTTGACCACAAAAAACAAATTTCTATATTTTGACGATATTTGTCAAGTTTTTTTCACTGAAGTCGGTAGACTGCAAAGGGAAATCGAAAATCCAAAGGTACTTTAATTTTAATTAGTGCTCTCGGTTAAATTGCCTCAGATCTTGTCAAATAATCCCCTTTTCAAAAATAGCTAAATAGGTTGGTTAAATTTCCTGTCGATGATAACCCGGTAAAGTTTACACTGAATACAAATACTGATTGGTTCGCTAACTTCCAGTTTATGTTTGATCTTAGTTCTCGTCTTCTTTCATTTTGCATTTTAAAATTTTTCATACACAAGCCTTTCTAAGATGTTCCTGGTTTTAATGGATTTGCTAGCGTTCGAATGATTACATTTCGGGTTTTAGTTTACACTCGAATATATATATACATATTTTTTTTTTTTACAACCTTGAGTTAAACGCAGATTCGCGGCTATATTCCGTAATCTTTTAACTCTTTAAGTGTTTTTCTATGCGGTTTTTACTAAAGGAAATTTGCGGTTGAATCTTAGTTTTCTAAGCTTCTGTGTTGTGTAGTCTGTCATCTTCTACCTTGAATGAAAACAAAGTACATTTCAAAATGCGCTATAAAATAGACTTAAAGAATCAGCAAGATTAAATCAACTTGATTGAGTTGATCCTTAAAGAAATCTTTACTCATTGTTATTCTAATTTGGGAAATATTAACACAGACAATTGCTTTTACTTCTTGGTGACGGTCTAAAAGGAGTTAACAAAAGGTATGTGATTTGTTATTGTGAATGCTGATTGAATTAATTCCTTGGCTTTGAAAGTCAGTAAAGAATGCACACTTCGTTCCAATCACAGATAATTTCCCTTTATGATTGCTATGAAGTGTTTCAATCCAGCTTGGAATCAAAGTCAGTAGAATGTGCTCGGTGAAGTAATAATCGATTATTTTCTTTCAAGCTTTTAAGATATTTCAAGGATGTTATTACCTGGAACACAGAACCACTTTCAAGAGCCATAAGATTTGGAACGAATCATTATTTGGCAGTGTTGATATGTAGCTAAAAGTTTTGATGTAGATGGAAAATATTCAAGGCATACTTAAAAACTGAGTCTTCCCCTCGTGCAGTTTATTAGGGGTTATTTTTGGCTTCGACATCAGCCACAACTCATTCCCATCCACTTTCACCGTTACGTTTTGTTTTTTTTTAACTTCTTCTTAAAGTCCTTAGTATATAAAGATATTTTAGAATATTATACGTTGCACACACCTGAAATATTTAAATTGTTTTAAAAATTAACTTATTGATTTGTTCATTTATTCATGATTCCATCCGTCCACTTAATCGTTCTTTCGTTCAATCATTAATTCGTGCGCTGATTCACTTCACTTATTTATTCTGCACAATGCTCTTAGTATATAAAGATATTTTAGAACATTATACGTTGCACACACCTGAAATATTTAAATTGTTTTAAAAATTAACTTATTGATTGGTTCATTTTTTCATGATTCCATCCGTCCACTTAATCGTTCTTTCGTTCAATCATTAATTCGTGCGCTGATTCACTTCACTTATTTATTCTGCACAATGCTCTACATTTTCCTTGAAAAAATTCATGAAGTTGATAGCAGAACATCGTCTAAAATAATTTTGAGTCGTACATATCTTATTATCCCTTTAACACTAGTTGCAGTCATTGGTGCAGCTTCCAATCCCAAAGTTGAATGTATAATTCATAATGGTAGATAAGACAATTAGTCGTCAGCTAGGAAATGTTCGCCTTACGTAAACGAAAACCAAATCTTCACGTGATCTCAAAATAAACTCAATCACAAGCATTTACTTTGTAAGTAGTACTTACGGTTGGCAAGAAAAAAATTAATTTTCAGTTCTATCTAATTTTAAAGAAGTTTAGAAGCC